CATTGTGAAACTAGTGCAGTAACGTTCTCCTTATTGCCCTGCTGAACAGAAATATTCCTTAGTCCATCATATTATACAATGCGTTCCCTTTAGTTCATTTCATATTACGAACATTCAATAGTCACTGTCCTCTGTTTGGCGCATGCGGTCATGTGACGCACTCACCCAATCACCAGTGTTGTCATCTTCGTCACGTGACCAGCAGTGTGGAACCAAAACATTAGTTACAGCGTTTAGTTTTGGAGGATTATGATCATGTATTGGGACTTTATGAATGAACATGGGAACGTTGGGAACGTTAGGGTAGCTGACTGCTTATGTGACGTTCTCATCATCGATCAGAGCAGCTTGAGCCTGCGTTGTGTTTCCAAAGGATTCTTCATCCTCTTGACTCTCGAGGAACTTTTCCAACTTCACAGGATTCTGGAATACCTCGTGCTCATGGCCTTTGGACACTTTTATAGTGGCTGGATAAAGCAGGAAAGCTTGGTAACCCGCTTGACGAGCCTTTTCCATGACAGGATAGCAGGATTTGCGACGAGCCCGGGTTGCGACGCTGTCCTTCCATCACCAGCGGTGAGTGTATCTTAGGCACATGAAAATCATGATCCTTGGTGTTGTTGCTTTGCTCCGTGGAGCTCGAGTCCAATGCGGTGTGCTCTCATGATTTCTGGAGGCGCGTCTTTCAGCGCGGGGAACCACAGTGGGAGCTGGGCCATGATATATTGTAAAGCATTAACGTTTTCTCTACGCTCACAAAGCCCATGTACCACAATATTATTTCGTCTGCTCCGATCCTCCAAATCGACCAACTTTATCTCCATTGTTGTCACAGTTTTAGACAAGTTTTTAGACGTCTGCTCCACTTCTGCCGTGCGCTGCAACAGGTTTGCATTAGCTTCCCTGAGAGCCTTCGTTTCTTCTTTAAGTGATGAGAAATTGCTCCAAACGAGCAAATGCTTCTTCTGATTTTGCCTCAGCTTTAGCAAAATGTTTCTCCAGCGCCGTTTCAATAAGCAGAGTTAAACTTTCTGAAGACGCCATGGTCTCAGCTTTGGTCTCCAGTTGTGGATTTCCTCTGGTTCCACGCGGCATATATAAAGTTCAATGTGCCACGAAAAGCAGTCAGCTAATCCCATGGAAATAAATTCATGGACTACTTTTGTGTTAGACTTATGCAGGAAGAGAGATCAACGCAGCTACCTCCGAGCAGCCATGTTAGTTATTGGCAGTCCACAAAAATGACAGTCCAGTACAAACCTGCGCTACTTTTTCTTCAATAAGACGTATATCCCTATGCACTGCATGGATATGGATTTGAATTTGAATTTAAAAAAAATAAAGTCAGTTAGTACAGCTTTAACTTTTCTTTTTCCATACTTTTTGACAGGTTTTTTCTTGACAGTTAAATCGTCAGAATCTGAGTCGACTTCATCACTTCTGATTAGGGACTCTTGACTAAGCTGCACAAACAACAAATAATTGTAATAATTCTATAAAACAATGTGTAATCATAACTTGTAGTCAGCACTTACCGGGGGTTTGTAAGCGTACGCTGCAGTGTGCTGCTCTGTGATTGGCTGCAGCCTAATGAACCACACACCTGCACCTTTTCTAGCCTGACACCTGACTTCCTCTGTTGTGCTGCTCCATGATTGGCTCCAGCCTCTGGACTGAAATTGCCCCAGTGTGCCCCTCCTTGATATCCCGCAAACCACCACCAGGGTTCCGACCAGTGGGGGCGGGTCCCAGCTCAAAAGTGGCCAAAATGACGTGCGCTGACATGCTGCAATACCACCCCGGGCCGATGGGGGTGGACCCGGAAGAAGAATTAGCCAATGCTAACATATAGCGTTGGCAGACCTCTCAAAAACGTCTTTACAGGATGGACCAAAAGTTGGCTCTTGGCCCAAAGCTCCGTTCCACATGTGTGTCAATGCTGAGGGGGGTGGATTTTTTTGGTCCACTCTAGTTTACTTGCTGTGAATTTTTGAAGTCTCTCGTTCAAATGAATGGAGTTGCGCCGCCTGACGGATGCGCAGATGCGTTTTTTTCACAATTTTCTTGTGGGCGGGACCACTCGCGGCCATTTTGGATTGCTCCATTAAAGCACTTTTCATGGCCAACTCCTATGAACGGTGGAGATAGGCGTGACTCTGTCCGTTATTATATACAGTCTATGGTTCCGACACATAACACACTTTTTTCAGGAAAGTAAACCTCCAGGGGTCCTTTCCGTATTTTTTCAGAGACTGCATAAGGACCGTTAGAAAAGCATTACCCATTGATTATTAAGCTTGGACCAGTGGGGTCCGGTGTTTGGGCCCCACCACGTAAAACCAGTCCCCATGACGTGAGTGGAGTCTCAGGTTATGGACCCCACCAGGAGTTTAAAACAAGTGCACACACACCCACACACACACTTAGTCACGACAAGCAGACATCATAGAGTCACAACAAGCAGACATCATAGTCACAACAAGCAGACATCACAGAGTCACAACAAGCAGACATCACAGAGTCACAACAAGCAGACATCATAGAGTCACAACAAGCGGACATCATAGAGTCACAACAAGCAGACATAGAGTCATGACAAGCAGACAGTCATAACAAGCAGACATAGTAGCAGTCTCATTATTGTGTTATATACGTGTTATATGCAGTTTATTATCTGTTGTCATGTTAGTTGCCGCCAGCAGAGGGCGCACTTGTCCTGTGTGCACTCAGTGAGGAGACCATAAGGTGCATGTTACTGACACTATTCATCTGTAATAAGAAGTTTAAGGCAGAAATAACAAAAGACCAAGCATGAGATAATTCCTTCCACTGTTCACAGACAACAAGGTCAGTTCTGGACCTGTGATTTCTGTTTAGGTCTAATCGAGTAAGAAACGACTAAAGTGAAACAGTAATGCAATACTTTACTCTTTGTTTGCAGATCTACAAAGTCCATCGGCAGAACAGGGTTCACCTGTGATGAGTGTGGGAAGAACTGCAGCTCTGCTTCTGAACTAAAGAGACACTGTGGAACTCACACTGGAGAAAAACCATACGTGTGTGATCAGTGTGGGAAGACCTGCAGCTTTGCCTCTGTACTAAAGATCCACTACAGAATCCACACTGGAGAAAAACCATACAAGTGTGATCAGTGTGGAAAAGGTTTTACTCAAGCAGCACATCTTGAGAGCCACAGCAGAATCCACACTGGAGAAACGCCCTTCAGCTGTGATGTTTGTGGTCAGAGTTTTAGACATGAGAATTCTCTCAAAGAACATCAGAGGATCCACACAGGAGAGAAACCATTTGAGTGTGACCAGTGTGGAGAAATATTTAGGACCAAACACCACCTCTCACTACATCAGCGTGTCCACACAGGAGAGAAACTTCATCGGTGTGACCAGTGTGAAAAGACTTTTACACGTTCATCTAAACTCACTCAGCACTACAGAATCCACACTGGAGAAAAGCCATACGAGTGTGATCTTTGCGGAACAGGTTTTACTAAAGCAGAAAATCTTCAGACCCACAGCAGAATCCACACTGGAGAAAAACCCTTCAGCTGTGACGTTTGTGATCAGAGTTTCAGAAAAAAACATGCTCTGAAAGAACATCAGATGATCCACACAGGAGAGAAACCATTTGAGTGTGACCAGTGTGGAAAAACATTTAGGGCCAAACACTACCTCTCACTACATCAGCGTGTCCACACAGGAGAGAAACTTCATCGGTGTGACCAGTGTGAAAAGACTTTTACACGTTTATCTAGCCTCACTCAGCACTACAGAACACACACAGGAGAGAAACCATTCGTCTGTGGAGAATGTGGGAAGGAGTTTGCTGTGATTTCACACTACAAATGTCATGAGAGACTTCACACTGGAGAAAAACCATATGCATGTGACTTCTGCAGTAGAACTTTTACAACTGCATCAGAGCGCACACGTCACCATCGGAGCCACACTGGAGAGAAGCCGTACAAATGTGACGTTTGTGATCAGAGTTTTACTCAGAGCAGTTTTCTCAAACGTCATAAGAGGATCCACACTGGAGAGAAACCATTTCTCTGTGAAAAGTGTGGAAAGTCCTTTGCTCAAAGGTCATCTCTTATTCGACACATTAAAACGTGTGAGAAGCAGGTGTGAAGACGCAGCATCTGGAACATAGTGAAGGAGACAGAGCTGAGGCTGCATCATGTGAACCCAGAGTCAGACTCTACAGGATCACACTTCAGTCTTAACCAGAGGTGTGGACTCGACTTATGTGACTTGGACTCGGGTCAGACTCCAGTCATGAATTTGATGACTTTAGACTCGACTTAAACTTTAACATCAATCACTCTGACTTTCACTTGGACTTGTGCCTATTGACTTGTAAAGACTTGTGTAACCCGGGTCATTTTTACCTTTCTCCACATCTCTATTTTTATCTATGTCGTCTCTGAAGAAAAAATGTCTTGTGGTAGTTGTAGTGCTTGAGCCAGAGTTGGAACGTGAGCCGCACCTGTCGTCTGGCCCAATACTGAGATTAAATACTTATAACGGGACAGGAAATGGATAGATGGTGAAAGAGGGTTAGAAGGGCTTTTTGTAGACTCTGCTCATTTTATATCACATTATGTTGTGTTTTATATTCTCATGTAACCAAAGCATTATGAAATGTATGTTTTTGCTCTTATAGGAATGTTTTCCACTCTTGTATGTATTACGAGACTGTATGACAAAAGCAGTGATTATATAACTCTGTGAGAGCGACATACTGGAAAGTTCTTTCTCTGAGGAAGCAGGGGCGTAAAAGAGGTGACACGGGGGAATAGTGACAGATGATGAGGGCCATATTTGGTCAGGCGCATTTTACTGGAAGGCAATAAAAACTCCAGTTGTAAGAGACTGGAGGAGATCTCTTCACGGAGCAGGATTGGAAACAACCCTTCCATCGCCTGGCGTTTGAACAGCCAACAACTTCAGGGGAACAATTCAGAAGAGAGGGGTTGTGAAAAAATGTCCCTGCCTCAGCAGGCGAGGCGGTGTGGGCACTGGGTCGTTCCACTCAGGGAACCAGGTCTCAAGAGGCCTCGGGACTCGTGCCTCCAGGCAGTGAGGGCAGTGACAAGACTAGAGGGTGGAAGGAAGCGCACACTTCACCTCTGTGGCTTTTGTCTGCTAAAAGAAAGGAAAGAGTTGACTCAGAGGGAGAACGCCAGTGATTGACAACGGTCTTACTCACAGAGAACTGCTGCTTCACAGACCCTCACAGAGACTGCTTCACAGCCCCTCACAGAGACTGCTTCACAGCCCCTCACAGAGACTGCTTCACAGACCCTCACAGAGACTGCTTCACAGACCCTCACAGAGACCGCTTCACAGACCCTCACAGAGACTGCTTCACAGACCCTCACAGAGACTGCTTCACAGACCCTCACAGAGACTGCTTCACAGCCCCTCACAGAGACTGCTTCACAGACCCTCACAGAGACTGCTTCACAGACCCTCACAGAGAACTGCTGCTTCACAGACCCTCACAGAGACTGCTTCACAGCCCCTCACAGAGACTGCTTCACAGACCCTCACAGAGACTGCTTCACAGACCCTCACAGAGACTGCTTCACAGACCCTCACAGAGACTGCTTCACAGACCCTCACAGAGACTGCTTCACAGACCCGGAGGAAGTGGGCTGGGAGGCACCAGAAAGTTTGTATTAGCTGTTATTAGTATATTACCATTGTATTTTTGGATACATTTTGCATTTGCTGTGCTTTTTGGAAACTATATAATCATTCCTGCATTAAAATTACATATCCACCAAACCGTTGTCCTGGAGGGCCAACTTCTGGCCACCGAATAATCCACCTGACGAAATACCAAGAGCCGGAAACATCAAGGGCAAACCCAAAATGTGAGGAGGCCGCGGGCAGCAGAAGGAGGAAGAGAGGGGTCTCATCTCAGAGCTGAACCACGGAGGAAGACGAGCAAACTCAGAGGAGAGAGTCAGGCTAGTCACCTGTGCAACCCCAGAAACCAGCAGGCCTTAAACCGCGGGGGAAAGACCTGTGGGCTGGCCTGCTAACATACTTATTATTAAGAGTCTGCAGAATCTCCATGGATTTTGCCATCTCCAGAGATAGACATGTCCGTGATTTCATTTCATTTCATTTCATTTCATTTTCAACCCCTTTATTTGTCCATTTCTGGGTCGGGGGGGTGGCAATGAGAGCTGCCACCCAACGCTCATAGCACCAGTCCCTCACTGATCTTCTGCAGGGGGTGAGTCCACAGGAAGATGGCTGCTCCATCAGTTGAGAAACCGCCTTGATCTTTCAGCGGGGGGCTTCAGGCAACGTGGGGTTAAGTGTCTTGCCCAAGGACACAACGACAGCAGTCATCAGTGGGAGCAGTTGGAGTAGGTCCCATGGTGGGAATCGACCTCCAGGCCCAAAGGCCAATGCTCTACAAACTGAGCTACTGTCGCCCCCATGTCCGTGATGTCTTGTTCAAAGGTAGGTAGGTTGATCGTTCTGTGCCTGTCTCGTCTGCCGGAGGGAGGACAGCCGTCTGGGGTCAGCGGCGTCCTCACTGACGTCAGCCACGTCTTGGTGCCCTACGTGCATGTGGCCGTAACTCGTGGGGTGTTTTTCCCCTTGTTGCCTGTCAGTGACAACTCTGGAACACGGACTTTATGGAAGAGTATTTCAATGCTCAGTGACGCTGCTCCGTGACGCTTCACGCTCAATCCCTTTTCACAGGACTTGAAGGACAATTTGAACTGTGTATAAGTCGGATGTTTACACTATACGCCAATGTGAATTGTAAATATTGTTTTTGTGTTGTAGGAGCTGTTATCCAGTCTGGGGCGGTGGAGGTGTGTGCCACAGGTGTGATCACCCGTTTGGTTTGCAGTGCACTTGATTATTATTTGCTGTAGTAGGGTCAATATACTAATTGACCCAAAAAAATTGCTACATTTTTTTTTTGGTGGTTTTATGTTAGACTGGGTCTAGTCTATAACATACTAAAAGTTGGACAAAATCGGAGTATTGGAAAGTGTCAAAATTTGGAGATGACTATTTCGGTTTACAAGTCATTTTCCATTTACATGTGAAGCACTGACTCGGTCAGTTTTCATGATAAATCAATAAATGTGTATTTTTATCCAGGTTTTCAGGGTCAATCTTTCACATTGAAGGGTTACCAGTGATGCCAAATAAACCCTTATACCACATCAAGGGGTACTCCAACCCCCATTAACCTTGTTGCACCCACACTGATTCACTTACGTCACAGAACTTTTTCAAAACTTTTAACACCTCATCCTCATCTATCACTGGATCCTTTTTCATATTGTCACAATTTCCATCTTGGCAATGCCCGCATGCACTGGTACATTCTAGTCTATGCCTCCTGCAGTTACACCTTGGGGCAGGGGTCTCAAACCGGTTCCAGAAAAGGGCCATGTGGGTGCAAGTTTTAGTTCCAACAGCTCCAAACTGAGCAGGAGCACAGATGACTCCACCCATTTCCTCAGGTGAGTCAGGTGAGTAACCTGAAGATTTGAGGAAATGGGTGGAGTCATCTGTGCTCCTGTTCAGTTTAGAGCTGTTGGAAGCAAAACCTGCAGCCACATGGCCCTTTCTGGAAGCGGTTTGAGACCCCTGTCTTAGGGTATTGCATCCTTCCGAACAGTTGCAATGAATTATCTTAATCAGTGCATTTGGAGCAGGGCTTTTGTCCGTCATCACTGGAACAAGTTTGTCCCCTTTCACCTTCCACCCCCACTCAGATAACACCATTTCATTACTACATATCATCCACTCCATAACCTGGTATTAAGTCCATAAAGAATGAAATTTACAGGCAAAGGCCGTTGGTGGGAGTCGTTCTGGCGTGACGAACGTCTTAGCTCTCGCAACTTTCTTGCAGAGCATATTGTATCTAATAGATGCCAGGAAGTCCTTCTGATCCGCATTGAACAATGCTACCATTTCTTTCCTCGGACCGTTACCATGACAATCGGTCCACAGCCCGTATCACACAAAACCAAGTCGGACATGAACATACTTCACAAATATCTCAAAAGCATTGGTTAAGACACAGACGAGAGTCATATAATAAAACATTTATTAACCTCGCTTGCTCGGTCTGTACAGAGAAACATCAGACCTTGGCATTTTTGCACATTAAGGCCATACAGACCTCGGTTAATAAGCCGTTAATAGTCATCGTTTGACCTCTGTTATTGCCAACAAAGGTTACATTACAAAATATTGAGTTGAATTTTTGTTATTGACCAAATACTTATTTTCCACCATAATTTACAAATAAATTCTTTAAAAATCCTACAATGTGAATTCCTGGATTTTTTTTTCACATTCTGTCTCTCACAGTTGAAGTTTACATATGATGAAAATTACAGACCTCTGTCATTATTTTAAGTGGGAGAACTGGCACAATCGGTGGCTGACTAAATACTTTTTTGCCACACTGTATGCATGGAACAGCAAGAGAACAAGAAGATCTGTGTCTTCTCCAATGAGGGTGCTTGATTTGAAAGCGGACTTATTGATTGCTGCCTTCACGATTTCAACGTCGGCATCTGCTTCTGCTTGAATAACGTCACAGCCTTTCTGCCACATTCGTTCCATTCAACAAGAAGTCCTCCTTTTTCCCAGAAAATGTTGTCACCTCTGTAATGTTCACCTTTTTTGGATTCAGCTTTTTACTCTGCAACTGATGAGTCCTTTTATACTTGGTCCAACTTTGTAACCATCAAACACAGCAGTTGCTCTCCCACAATGTTCAACAGTAAATGAGACTAAACCGTTTGCAATCGAGCTGTAGGGACTCCCCTCCTTTCATTTCAGGCGGTGAAGAAGAGATCTTCCTTCCATCTAGTACATTGTGCTCTGTGACTGGAACAGTTTGTGTCACAGCACTGTCTGATTTTGTTCGAACATAATTTCTAAAATCCTCTGCGAGTTTGTTCGTTTGACGTAAGATGCCCTTTCCTTCGAACAAAGACATCGGGTAGAGACAGAGTTCATAGGACATGACATCATCCAGCCTTAGATTACCAGTCTGTGAGACCACAATAAACCTCTGGAATAGGAGTGCTGGGTCAATGATATGATCTGCAGAAACTTTATGTTCTTGCTCGATGCTAGCCTCAAACTCAGTTTGTGACAGGAGAAAACTGATTGTCCATCCATCTTCTGTACAATGTATTTTCCGAGTTCGAAAATGAACATTGACATCCTCATTGGCATCAATCCCTGTGGTAATATAGCGTAACCATTCATCACATGAAAATGGTTTAAAGCTGTCTAGTTGTTCTGCAACTATCCCAAGGTCTGTCTCATCTCTTCTCACCCTTAGGTTGTTCACGTAAGTTCTTGCATGGCGAGGTTGTAAGCGGATGACACAGTGGAAGACATGGACCAAACTGTCCTCTGGTGCTTGGACATCATCAATTTATTAACATAAACAACACAGCTATAGCAAGACATCTATTACCAAGACAATCAGACTTTGGGGGAGTTTCAGTTCTTTTCTCAAGAATCTTATACCCTATAGAACAATTTCATTTGTATACAAAGGTAAGGGGCCCAATTAATAGAAGAAAGTTCTAATTCACCACTGGTACCCATTTTAAAATAATCACCCATACGCCTGTTTGTGAACCTGGGTGGGGGCAATACGGTGTTTAGGGGTAGGGGTTCCCCTAGATATGGTATAAGGGTTTATTTGGCATCACTGGTAACCCTTTCATGTGAAAGATTGACCCTGAAAACCTGGATAAAAATCCAAGATAAAAATCCAAGATATTTGTGATTTATCATGAAAACTGACCAAGTTGGTGCTTCTCTAAAATAAACCCACAAAAAAACAAATATTTGCAATTTTTTTGGGGTTGTGGGTACGCGGGCAGTATATTGACCCTACTACTGTGTGTGTGCTTTTATTGGTGACCCCCAGCCCCACTCAGCTCCTATACATAGTTCCCCATGTGACGTCACCGCTGCCGGCCTGTCATTGCGTCCACCATTTTTAAGGGCAAAGTACGCGGCTGCTGCTGCTGCTGTGAACATTGAGACAGATAATTTTCAGGGCTCTTTTTTTTTTACCAAAATGGTTTGTTCGTGTTGGGTACCTGGATGTACTAACAGAGCAAATGGGACTGATAAAGTAGGCTTCTATTCTATCCCAAGTGTCCGAGTGCATGAGGGAGATTTCACTAAATCACTGAGTGAGGAACGCCGACGACTGTGGTTAACTAGTGGTCAACAGAAGGATGAACCTACGATATTCTCGAAAATCTGCTCCAGTCACATCATCACAGTTAGAGCAGTTTGTATTCTCAACATATTTTCAATGTAAGTCAAGGTTATGTTTTTGTTTATAAGTGTGCACGTTGCTTTAGTTTGTCCGTAGCTAGCTACATGCTAAACCTAAGTGTCTGGGCAAACAGCTGCTTGAAGAAACCTGATGACATGCTGTTTCTGAACTAGGGCTTTGACTTATGCACAAAAATCATTTTCGAAGTTTGTTTGTTCATTAATTAGATATTCGAATATATACTAATATATTAATTATAATTACAAAAACACAAGTGCTAAGGAGCTTTCATTGTCTGTTCAGGGAAGCTAGCTAGAAGCTTGGTAGTATTTGAATCGTGGTCCATATATTATGACTTTGAATTGATGGTAATAATTCCACATTTTCTTCTAGTTCTGATTCTCAGGTCACCCTTCTAGCATGTATAGAAACGATCCCACCCAGATGTGGGCACCAACAATTGAAGTCTGGGGAAAGGGCTGTACCCCATGACCAAAGTCCCAACAAAAACAAGCAGGAGAGTTGAGGACTAAACAAAAAAGGTATACCACGATACAGTGCTCTTACTTGAAATACCCCTTGATCGAAGAGTACTTGTTTTTTGTAAAGTCTAAATAAAAGCCATTAACCAATTTATGGTTCCTGTAAATTTTATTCAAACAGATTTCAGAGAGTGATGTAAAAACCAAAACAAAAAGAGAAGCACCATGCGTGCAAATAGAATGTCTACTTGAACTCCATGACAATTTTTCACAATGAGGACCCACAGTTCCACCAGAGGAACCAGATTGTCACGAAAAAGTCACACTAGCAGACACCAGCATTGACCAAGCGGAAGCCATCTAACCACACCATCCCGCGAGTTTACTCAAAGTCTAGGTAGAGAGTGAAAAATCAAAGACGGACTTATCAGAAAACATGATGTTATCGGGCCGAACTTAGAATCTCTGAAATTAACGACAGAATAGCTTTCAAGATAACAATGAGAAAGTAAAATACTACACTGGACTGCCAAACTTTGAAACGCTCCATGCTACTTTTCAACATTGTTTCACCCTTCCTCTGCAAAAGAATATGCGCATAGGTGTGTTTGAAAGACTACTGATGACGCTGATGAGACTGAAGTTGAATCTTCCAGTAAAAGACTTGGCATACAGATTCAATACATCAACATCGACCGTTTCAAAGAACATTTTTAATTGTTATACATATATTGTTTGTTCGGTTAGGATTTTTGATATATTGGCCAGAAGAGAAGAACTGAGAAAGACAATGCCTATGGAATTTCAGACTTACTTTTCAAAGAAAACTGCAGTAAAATTGATTGTTTTGAAATATTTATTCAAAGACCAACAGGACTAATGGCCCGAGCTCAAACATGGAGCAA